CCCCGCGCGAGCGGGCAAGGACAGTAGGTGGCCACCAGGTACCCAGCCCTGATCACCGAGGCTGCTCAGTGCGTCTGAATTCCAGGAGCCCCAACTACCGCCTAAGCGCTGTCTTGGACCCAATAGAGGCTGGGGCTGGGGGTGGGGAGAAGGATCCTGCGTTCAGGTGGGGCTCGCTTCTCTGTGGGGACACCCCACCCCCCACGGCTTCTCTCTGGGCAGGGGCCGGCTTTAAAAGCTTTGGAAGCGGCGTGGGGGCAGAGCGCAGGAGTAACCTCTTTGTCTCCTGTGCGCAAGGTCCTCTGCCACCTCTATTGCTTCCTGCTCCTTCCCCTGGAACAGCACAGGTGGACTGACATCCGCCCCCTGCCCAGAGTCTCCTTGCCCTAGGTCGCCGCCCGCCTCCCAGGGACGTGGGCCAGCAAGCCCTGCCGCGGAGCAGCCGGCGCGGGGCCGCCAGGGGGCGCACGGGGGGCGGGGACCCGCGCAGTGGTTGCCAAGTCTCTGGAGACCCCGCTGCGGTCACCCCGGCCCTGCACCCAGCCTGGCGCTCGCGCTACTGCAGCAGCGGGCTCCGGGAGACCGTGGTCGGTGTGCCGGGTGCGGGCCCGGGTGTTGCAGGCTGGCGCCGCAGTCTCCGGGGTCGCGCGGAGCCCCCGCGGGGTGCTCGACTCCTGCGAGCCGCGCTCACCCTCCGGGGTGTGGGACCCGGCGGGCGCAGGGGAGCGGCCCCCGCGTCCGGCCGCCACCGTGGTTGAATTATGCAGGAGGCTGGCACCGGCGCGCTCGAGTTGCTCAAGTTTCCCTGGCAACTTTCGCCCGGGCATCCCTCCTCCCCCGCGGCGGGCAGCTCCGCCCGCGCGCACCCGCTGCCCAGGAACCTCCGCCGGTTGGCCTGGGCTTGGGGCGCCGGGCGCGGGAAACACTCTGCAAGACGCCGACCACGCACTTGCTCCTGGGCCGGGGACTCCAACTGAGCCAGCAGGTGCGACCCCTACGACGCCGCGGTAAACTTCTCTGTCCCAGTGCAAAGGGTGCGGGGTTCACAGTAGACCTTGCCTTCCGGGTGCTGGGGTTTAGGTGGATCTCGCAGCCCTGGTATGGAGGGTGTGGGGGCGCAGTGGACCTAGCAGCGGGGGTTTGGGGATCGCAGAGGGGCGCCCTCCCGCGGGTCGGCACGCGGACACCCTGCTCCAAATGGGCGATCCATCACGGGTGAGGTTCGTGTTTCTGTGGGACTGGGGGCGCCCGGAGGGAGAGGCTGGTTCTAGTGACCAGAGTTTTGACGGCTGAGCTTTTAAAGGTGCCCTAAGCAGCTGGATCTGAGAAGGCGTTTAGGTCCGCGGGTGAGGTTCAGGCCGAAGTACTGGGGGCCTTGGGGACCCACAGATGCGGTCACGGTCCTGGGAGCCCTCTGAGGCCATCCGAAAATAGTGATTTCTGCATGGAAATTTGAGGTAGTAATTTGGATAGGCGTGTGACCTCTTTTTTGTCTGAAACTCAAGTTCCAACGTTAATGGGGTCAATCAGCTAATTAAGTGGAATTTCAAGATGCAGAGAGGTAATTTTGAAAGTCCTGTTGGGGGTTGACATGACCTCCACCTGGGATTCAGGCCTGGACCTCACCACCCTGGCCAGGGCTGGGGCTGAGCTTCAGCCTGGATTCAGGTCCCTTGCTGTCTGAATTAAGTAATTGCTAGTGAGTGAGGACCTACTGTGTGCTGGGCACCAAGCCTGGCCCAGGATGCTGTGGGGTTGGAACGTCCTCAGCAGCCTGGAGGAGGAGACACTTGCCTTTGGAGACCCCAGTGTTCCAGTCCCTTGTGGATGATAACAAGCCGGGTGCATAAAAGGGCTGAGCCCTCCATTGCCCGGGCCCTGGACAGCTTTGCACCTGGTAATTAGGGGGCAAAGGATGAGGCTGCTGGGTAATGAGGGTTGATGGGTGAAGCCTGCAGGTCTTTATTCTGGAAGCCTCAATATGCCCGAGAGAGAGACCCTTGACTTCCTAGGAGTGCCGGGGGCTTGAGAGCGGGTTGCATGTTGAAGCTCCCAGAACTTTTCCGGAAGGAACTGGATTCCACTGTTGTGTTAGGAATTCTTCCAAGAAGGAAGACCTGGTGGGAAGCTGGGCCTGGCTGTGCGCCCTGAGGAGGCTGGAATTCAGGGGTCAAAGGAACCTGATGAATCAGGTGATGTTGTCTATAAAGCTGATCCCAGGGGGCCGGTGACAGCCCTTGGCTGCCTCAGACAAATTAGATGGCCTCAAGTTGGGAAGGGGAGCTGCTGCTCTTCAGTCCTGCAGCTTAGAGAGCCCTGCTCAGAGGCCACCTTCCGGGAGATTTTAATGAATTCATTCATTCATGTGGCCCTCTGCTGGCGTGCTGGGGCCACCTCATGCAGGGGACTTGATCCAGATCTGGAGGGGAGCTATCTGGATCACTGCGGGGACCCCGTGCAGATGCAGGAAATTCCTGCCTGGGGAAGGAAAAGGAATCCGAGGTAGAAAAATGGAAGTTTATAGAAAAGCAATTTTTTAACACGCATAGTTTTATGTCCTAAGATGCATTCAGCTCCTGAATGACACAGCTCCGGTGTCCCTGTCAGCTCCAGTGAGTCTCAGGGATGGATCCCAAGTAGGGCTCAGGATGGGGGCACACCCTCCAGCCCCCACTCAGAGGAATCGTGGGCAGCTGTGGATGCTGGCACCTGAGCAGAAGGCCCAGCTCCTCCAGACTCCACGACTACACACAGGACCTGTGTGGAGTCGGCTCCTGGAGGCTGCAGGAAGGGTGTGGCTAGGGCAGCGGGTCTGAAGTTGGTGGCATCTCCAGGAGCCCTGGGTGTCCTGTACTAGACTGTGAAGCCACAGGAGGGAATGTTTAGGACCCTTCATCCCAGGGACCTCGCCTGGGCAGGGAGGGGATTTGTGGAGGGGAGGGGAGCTGCAGACAAGGGCCTCTTGGAGCCCCAAGCCCTTCCCCTGGGCACTGGGAGAGCGAATTATCTATTGAAAGAAGGTGAATAGATCTAGTGCTGGGCTTGGAGCCTGGGACCCCTCCCCCATCTGAGGCCCAGTGACCTTTGGGACCAGCCATAGCACCAAACCCGCCCAACCCAACAGGAGGCCTGCTGTGTCCTCTGCTGGTCACAGGTGATCTAAGGCATGTTTGACTTTCTCCCATGCTGCATCAACATGAGCTCAACAGTGGTCAGCCAGGGCCTGCTGCTGCGTGCCTCGTGGGGGCCCTGCGGAGGCTGCTGCCCCCGAGCAGCCAGGCAGAGAGGGCCAAGACTGTGCATATGCTGCAGGGGTTGGCAAGGAAGTGACCATTGGGTGCTGTAGGCAGAGAGGGCCCCAGTGTGTGTGAGCAGGGAGGGACGTGCACCCTGTGTGGCTGTCCTCCCTCCCCTGCTTCCCTCTACTGGGCCTTCTGGGCACTCTCCGGCTATGTGAATCTCTCAGGTCCCCAAGGAGAGAGGTACCATTGGTCACTGTTCCCATTTTACAGATCTGGGGGCCGTGGCTTAGGGGAGTGAAGCCACTTGCCTTAGTTCCCCGCAGCTACTGAGTGAGGGGCTGAAATTCCCCCACTGACCCTGGGGAGCCCAGTCCTGCTCGGCCCGCCCTGGCAGGCTGAGGGCCTGCGGGAAGGTGCGCCCAGACACGGCGAGGAAGTTAGTCTTCCTGTTCCGTGGTGTGAAACCGGGCGGCAGTCAGCAGGTGCAAACCAAAGTTTCTGATGGGGTTTCTGGCGTGATGCGTGTTTTTACTGTTGAAAGCCGGTTCAAGGAATGGGCTGCTGGGTTCACTTCTGGCTCTCAGGGAACCCGGTCGTTTGGGGAACAGGATGCTCTGATAGGAGCCTCCCGTCCGTTGAGGGGCTTTCAGTCTTAAGTGGGGTTGTGGAGAGGGGTGTGCCGACACTGGTCCCGGGAGCCTGCCTGGGGCCCAGGGCCAGCGCCTGGGCCACTCTGATGTTTGGGCTCTGGGGCTGGCGCCTGTCACTTCCTGGGAGATTAAGCTCTTAAAAGCCTTCAGGCTGCCAGGCGTTTGTGGGCAGCAGCAGCAAACAGCAGGGCACCCCCCCCCCCCAATTGGCTGCCAGATGTCAGGGCTCATCCCCGGGGACTGTCCCTCAGTGGGCAGCTCGGTGGGGACACAGAGTTGAATTAGGCCAGGATCTCCTCCTTGGAGGCGGCAGATTCCAGATGGTGAGCCCCAGGGGTGCCCCAGGTTTCCTGGCCTGCCCTGGAAATTCGGATGCCAATGCCCAGTTCCTCTAGGGATTCTGCCCACAGGAATTCTGGGAAACCACTTGGAGAAACCACAAGTTTTTAGGTTGAAGGGCTGTGGAAGAAAGTCCTGAGTCGCTTAAACTGAAAACACCCTCATTTAGGAGACTCCCTGGGAGGTATCCATTAGGCATATAATCATTGCATACCTGAGTGATCCTGCTGGGCTAGGGCAAGTCTCTCCAAAATAATGGTTTTTGCTTCTCCCTAAAACATTAATTTTTAAAAACTCGATGGAGTCCGCCACCTTTCCTACCGTGTCTTCTGGAAGTCACACATGCAGCTGGGCTGGGTGACCACGGCCTGTGTTGGCCTTCTCCTGCCCCTGGGAGTCAGCAGCTAGCATTTTCTAAATAGGTTTAAATGTTTGCAGTACCTCTGAGAAGTAAATGCTGATGTCTAAGAGTAATTGCCACAGAGCACTTTGTCAGGCCTTGGTGGTATAGACCAGGGTGACAGGACCTGAGGGCCACCTCTCACTGACAGGCCATGGCCACAGGCTTTGCAGGGCAGGGGAGGGAACCAGGCTGTGTACACTCACCCCGGCCCTGTTCCCTCTTTCCTTTGTTCAGCCCCTCCCCCCAGAGGTTGTGTTCTGTGTGACAGACTTTTACACTCCCGGGTCATTGGTTAATCGATCCAGCATACTTGTCTGCAAGAAGAAATATTTAAATTGACTTCTGGAAAATGTCCTGTGACCTAAGTCACCAAGTATTTTTTAAAAATCATGTCTGAATTGAGACAGCGGTGCAGTCCTCGCGGGGGTGCGGTTACCCCGATACCCTGAGCACCTTACAGACTTTTAAAAATGCAGAGTGAAGAGGAGGTTCATCCTCCAGCCGAGTAGGCCCCCCCCCCGGGGTGTGTGCCCTGAGATGACAGGAAAGCCCTTCCTAGGTAAAGGGACGGGGGACTGTTGGGGCTGGGACGGGGTTCCCTCAGGCCTTTCTCCAGCTGAGCAACTTCTGGAAAATTCTCTGCTCCTTTTAGGGTCGCAAGCCCCCCTCAGGGGAGAATTCTCCATTTGCAGGATCCCACTGCACGGAAGGTTCTGGCAGGTGGCTCCTACCTGGGGACCTGGACACCCAGGCCAAAGCAGTGACGAAGCTGTCATCTGTGACCTCCCGTGGGCCAGGCCTCTGAGCCTGAGGCCTTTTTACAGATGGCAGGGTGCCTGCCCCCAAGTTGGCAGGACTAGCGATGGCCAGGGACTGGACGCCCGCCTGCCGGAGGCCTTCCCCCAGGTGCTGGGCTGAGTGTGAGGAGGGCGGGCGGGTCTCCTGTGTGTGGACGTGGCCAGCTGGAGGTCTGGCCGGGGCGAGGCGTGCCCGTCATCCCAAGCAGAGTCCAGGCCTGGGTCCTGCGGAGAGTGCATCGGAGCTCAGGATTGTCCAGGGACCTGAGAGAGGGGACACAAGTGTGGAGCCCTGACTTTCCTGAAGATCCGGCACTGGACTTCCCCGGAGGAAGGGATGCCTACTGCAGAGGGAGGGGTCTTCCTGTCCTCCAGTGCCCCCGCCACGCAGGGCTCAGCTGTTCCTGTTGGGATTTCCCTGACCCCTCCCCTTCCCTCCTCCCTCGGGTGGGGGAATTGCGGTGTCTGCATCTCCCTGCCCCCGAGGACCCTGAAGGCCATCCCGGGTGACTCCTCTGTACCTGGTTGTCAGGTCCTGGGGACTGGCCAGATCT